GTTTTTTATTTTTCGATTATTCTCATTCTTTATCAGACAAAATTCTACTTACAATACTGGCAATATTGTATTATTTAGATATCGGGTTATATATTATAATAATACATAGCTGATTGATAGGTATACATAAAAATAGATGTAGTAGATAACAATCATAGTATAATTTAGATATATTGATACGAGTACGTTTTATTACGAACAAGTGGCTGTACTATTTATTAGTTGCTGCTTTTTTGTAGTGCTAGGAAAATGTTTTAAATTTCAAAGTGTTTGTAAAATTTACAAATACTTTGACATGTAAAACATATTTTCCATTTTGCCTTTGACACTTTCAATTAACTGGCGGTAGGCTGAAAAGTTTTTACGTATTACCGCAGAATTTTACCGCTGAGTTTGTTGAAATGGAAACAGTTGCAGTTTAGATGTTGGAATAAAATGTAAACGATAAAAGAGGTGGAGTAGTCATGATCATCATGTTCAATCAAGATCTTTCTAATGATTGTTCGGTTTCATACCCGCACAATACAAAGTATTTTAATTCTTTAGTATATTTTGATCTAGTTATTTTCTATTTATCACTGTATAAATATTTATTCATGTCACTAGACACTGTCCATAATATAAACTGGCTTACTTTGGGATAAGATAAATATTATTAGCACTCAAATTTCTTGCTTAGTTCTAATGAATTGGTATCTTTGTATATTGCAATATGATGTTTGGTTATTATATGACATACGAAATAATTATGACCAGGTTCTGTCTTGTGTAGTTTATCTGGACTTAAAATATAAAACTATGGCGAATATTAATTCAAGTGGGTTTCCATGTCCGGTGTCATGAATGCATAAATATAGCAGTAGTTGCGTTTATGATGAAGCTACGCGTCGTTGGTTTTAGAATAAAGTAACAGAATGACTATCACGTACTCGGACACAAGAACTATTATATGTGTTAATATTTCACTATATACGACTAGTTGTGCTCGCGTCTACGTCCGCGTGGTATATTGATCTGGGATAACATTTTAATAACAATTTAATCCAAAATACCAAAGAAAAAGTTTCATCGTTCTAGCTTTAAAAATGTAGATTTTCCTTAATAAATTTCATATTTTATTTTACCCCTTAAGGTGAAAATTTTTTCAAACATCGAATGTCATATTTGTTTATATTTAATCTACAGCCTAAAAATAAGTTTCCAGCATTAAAAATGAAGATACTTACATACAAACTTCCATCTCTCATTTCAACCCCTTACAACCCTTTTTCATATTAAACATTAGCCCTTAAACATGTCCTTTTTCTGGGTCTAGACTATTTGTATACCAAATTTTATTTAAATCGGTTGAGCAGTTTTGGTGTTAAAGTGAGACAGACAGACAGATATATATACAGACAGAGTTACTTTCGCATTTGTAATATTAGTAAGGATTTATATTGACATTACAATTATTGACTTGTCATGAAATATCAAATTGGTAAGTTACACAAAGTTACAAATTTAATATACATACTTGCCTTATATGATGAAGGATTTTCGGGAATTCCCACGAGAACTATGTAACGTACGGGATTGCAGCTTGTTTTCTTCTAATAGGTTATTATAAAACCTGTTTGTCTTTACGTATAAATTGTATTAATTAATTTAATTAATAAGGATCACTTCTTTGTTTGTTAATATAATCTAAAATTGTGCACTTGAAATATAGGTATAAATTAATAGTAAATTTCATATTAGATCGTTGAAAATCCTATTAATATAATTGCTGAGCGTTTATAACTAGACTTCATTTTTTTTAAGCTATATTTCAAAGTAGAGCATCATTGCTGAACGGCGTCCGTCAAGAAGAAACTCTTCTCTGGAAGTAAAAATCAATTTGTGGCATAGCTTTTTTGTTGAGTGTTTATGCTCCATATCATTGCTAGCTATTTTATGAATTTGTCTTTATATAGTATGTATACTTTGTTATAAAATGTAATGTAAATAAAACCTTTGTCCAGTGTACGCTAACACTAGCCACTACATCGAATTCGCTGAATTTTCTTCAATTGTATCATTGTAAGCAGCAGTTGAAACTAAGTTATAGAGCGATGATATATTCAGCGAATATTATGCCAGGTTATCATCTTCTGCGAATTAGAAAATTTTGATAGTAATTCATATATACGCTACTTTGGTTCATTAAGGCGAATTTTTAAATAGATCCGAATCATTCTGAGATAAATTTGAGTGCTATCCAATCTTGGGATATCTTCGACTTCCTACAGTGATTTTTTACTTATCACCAATCACTGTTGACAGTATTCCAAACAGGCTTCATCTATTAAATAAATTTGTAAATAGGTATGGTTTAGTTGTCTTAAGTCGTCGTCTTAGACAATACATAGCTTCTCAGGAATACCGATCTTATTCAATATTTCTCATATAGTAAATTATCCTGTTGTTTGCCGTAATGAAGCATTGAAAATAGTTTTAAGTTTTGCTTCTGCGATGACAAATTATTTTTTGATATCATTTTAATCATTTATCGTAAGAGGTTTTTGTTTTAGATTCTCACTGCGTAGTTAAAAGTTGCCTGGCATGACCATTGATAAAGTTAATCGAATTATAGCTTAAATATTTAGAATTATATATATATGATACGATCCATTGTCTTTGTAACAATAATGTTTACGAATTTTATAATCATAAAATCATGTTTTTGATTTATCGTTATATTATCTTACTAGCTGGGCGTGCGACTTTGTATCCGTAAAACTTTTTTGTTTGTGAAGCAATTGGGATAAAACATACACAAAATTTATTATTTATTTATTTATTAGCACAAACAAAACATTATAATAATCATGATTTTGGTTTCTATTGGGTTGATAAAACCCATATAAATATTTATTTCTTATATATTTTCAATGTACGAATTGATCAGTTATACTTTTATTATATGTGTAGACAAATGCATTTCTTCAAGTTCTGCTTGCGTTATTTTGTATTAAGATAGTGTTACCACAAGACATGAATGCTTATAATGCCGTCTATGAAGTCGGACACGCGCGGCCGCCTGTGGCATAGTGGCACTGACCCTGCAGTGGTTCCAAACTGTTGCACAATGCATTCGATGTACTCGTGTTACTATTGTATGCGTAACTGTATTGCATTAGTTTTTTATATGACTACTAATAACAAACAGGGTTACGGCAGATCTGTTAATAAAAGGTAAATTATAGCATCATATACTGTCTCCATACTCATAATTCTAATAGTACTGTAAAGACTTGACAAAGTAATTTTCTGCTAATTTGCACGTTGTAAGTCGGAATACAGCATGCTAAATGCTTGACGGTAAAAATTGATTCATAGGTGTTCATTTTTATCAATGTCTTCGTGCAATCTTTCACTCTCGATTATTTCTAATTATATATTGCCAAATGGTATATAATGAAGCCAATTTGTTAAATTTATATTGTATGCCTCGATATAATATAAATTTAACAAATTGGCTTCAATATATACCATTAACGCTAACTGTGTAAACAAACAGGGCTATATCTATTGCCGTTTAACCTGATTATCATAGCGATAGTTTAGCAAGGTATTTATAACATGATAAACTAATAAAGAGATCAAACTCCGTGACAGCAGGTTGAAAGGTCATAATTATATACATTGTAAGTACTATTTAGTATCTGTGCGAGATATTGATACAATGTGGCGGATGTTCTTTCAGTCTTCCACATAAATTCCGAGTAATTGTCCAGTATATAATGGTTCTGTTTTTAAAGAAAGGGTTTACTTTTTTATGTAATTAGACTGGCAAACAAGCTGTTGGCCTACTTGAGGTTAAGCTCTAATCGATGCCTATATAATAGACAGCCCTTTGGACAAATTATTATGTAATAGGTACTTGTGATACCACTCATGCCTTGCCATTCTAGGACTAAACTCATGCCTCCTTTATTTTCATCCTTCTACCGAAGCACTGCATACAAAGCAAGGTGCTTGATAGTTGAAGTAGGTACACAGTAATATACCACGTATGTAATTTTCCAGAAAGTCTATCTCGATGAATATATCTAACACAATAATGTCATTAATCACAAAGGTTTTGTTTATTAGGCTACGCGGCGAACTTATTATTATTTTTTAATATTGCTTGGACGGTCCAGCTTTTTATATCCGATTACTTAGCGAAAAATATGAGTGAAGTTTAGGTTTTTATTATTAGCTTTTTATGGATTTTCTTTATTCTTTGCTGCTGCGTTCACACTTAACACTTGCATTATAAAATATTTGTTACATTTCAGTATGAATTAAGAACAAGATTTGTTGTCGTACTAAGTAGTACTTTATCACTTAGAAAAGCTACAAAATCATAGTTCTGTAAACAGAAACACGGGTATAAAATCTGTAAAATTTTCTAACCTTGCGTTTTATATATAATATTTACGATGATGCCAGCGATTTCATACGTGTCTACATTTGTAGATCGCCATAAATTGGTCAAACGAAAACAAAAATAAAGCTATAGTCTATAAGACGCCACCTATTATTTGATTAACGAATTAATAAAAATTTAAATTGTGTGTACTTTAACAAAGATTATTATATTTTAAGCCAACTTTCTTTTGCTTGTTTGTTAAATCATATTTGACAACATATTTACTGAAATTTTTATCTTAATTTCTCTAGCCATTTTTAAGTGAAACATTAACACACAAACAGACATGCAAACAGTTTTGTACCTTGTCACGGTTTTACGGTTTTATTTTATAAACAAAAGTATAAATATATAGTAGGACTGTATTTAATAAACCTTTTTATGAACCAAAATATTGTCTCTACTAATATAATATTGTCTCTACTAATAAATAATATAATAAGATAATATTCGACTTTATTTATAGTAATGATATAAACAAGGAACATTAGGGAATATTTAGGATACGTCGCTGGGTTCCAATATAATATTTTAAGTTAATATGTAAATTGATAATTTCCAGGCGTGTATCGATGACAACTTGGATATGGTCGAGTTCCTAATAAGTCACGGTGCCGATGTGAACAGAAGAGATAATGAGGGCTGGACCCCGCTGCATGCTACTGCGTCATGTGGATTCCTCAGTATAGCAAGGTAATTATAAATGGTATACCGTCACAACATTGCACCTACTGCCATCTCCACCGTATCGATTCAAATATTCTTTTCAGAATATGGGTATGGTATACTTTGTAATAATTTCAAAAGCACATACTATTTAAAAAGAAATCCATTTAGATAATTTTGGTGTATTGCTTTCTAAAATCGAACGATTATTTTTGTAATCGTTAGGATATTCACTAGTATGCTTGGTCCTATAGCGTATTCTTGGAACATGTTATTTGTGTTGTCATGCCTATAAGGTTATAATTGATTTTAGAAGCCCCTTTGAATTACTTCCAGGATTTTGTTTCGCTAAATATTAATCACGAGAAAATTGGTACAGGAAGCCCTAGCGATTAAGGAAATAATAAATTAATTTGTGTAGAAGAAAGAGAATTTTTACATACAAATAATATAGCTGTAGTATAAACTTATTGTGTATTCACTTTTTTTACATCGACATCGACACGCCCAGGAAGTTAAACGGTTAGACTCTTACCGGCTAAAAAGCCCAAGGAGATCCTTCTCTGTACCTTTTACGGGAATTGGCGAGCAGTCTTCCACAACCCCGATGACGCTGGCCCGCTTATTCCCCATCTTTTTTGTATTATTACAAATGCGAGACTCATGGTACGCGAGTACCTTCCGTGGGATTCGATGAGCCTGCGACCACCCCTGTGGCTACCGTTCTAGCTGAGCGAGGGGTATGAGTTTATATAACTCATACCCCTCCTCCGCCGAATTGGATTAGCAGAGAGGGAGATGTCGGGCACCCTTTCCGCTTCCTTATCTTTCATGACATGCCCCATAGAACAAGAGCACCAGAGAACATTATTGTTCTTTGGTCACCAAATCACTTACAAGTTTTGACAACGATAGCCACCTATAATATTACAATGTAGTAGATATAGAAATGTAAAATATAAAAGGAGTTAGCAGGGGTCGGTTGCCGTCAATTAATAACATTCTATGTGTGTTTGAATAGATAAACAAAGAACATTCCAGACCTTCCAATATCATTGTTTAATGCATTTACTCGTTCTAATATTAAATTTCTATAATATGAGTAATTACGCGATATGTTGCTCCACATGAGGTGGCTACTTCGGTAATAAACAACACTGAGTCAGTACGACCCATTCATCAGGAAGGTCCTGCCTATATGTACCTACATTATGTTGACGCATGTCTTCACTAAAGTGCTGATTAGTTGATAAGGTTATTGACCTTAATATTATTTTATATTTCTGGCTCACTTTCATTTGCATTATCTCATCAAATCTCAAAATCAAAGTTTTAAGATTAGTATAATGGAATAATAAAATGGTTGAAAATACATGAAATGCTTTTCATTCATTTGCATTTCTACCAGGCTGTATCAAAGCGCACTCGGTCTCAGTAAGGCAGGGGTTAACTTTCAGCCGCTTTATAAGTCCTTCCGTAAGTTTAGAGTGACTTCTGCACTCGTCATTTTTCATCCAGTGAAGCTATACAGCATCGGCCAACAGCGTAATAATAGTTCGAAAAAAAATTAAAAAGGTTTCGGTTCTGAAACTAAAAGCGCCAGTATAAAACTACCTCATATTGTTTTAAACATATTTACGCGTATTTTAAGCTTTAACGATTTGATGGTATGGTAGATACCGTCACATATTTACCGTAATAAACAATTTTATCATTACACTACTAGTTATTGGGTCTGATGATAAATGATGTAGTTTGATGTTTGAATTATAAGCAACTTTTTCAGTCTATCATTAAATGTTTACTGATATTTTTAATTCCGAATTTACAGGTATCTTCTGGAAAATGGGGCCGATGTAGCCGCCGTGAATTATGATGGTGAATTGCCAGTTGATTTGGTCGACATTGAGGCTATGGACGAGCTGCTTCAAAAAATCATTGACGAGAAAGGTATCCCTGTTTTTTTAACTATCTAAATATGCCTACTACATTTATATTTTGGTTGCTAGTACTCTGTGATCTTGCTGTTTAGTATATTGCTGTACAACGATGGTTGAGGAATAGATTCGTCCCACAATGCAAATTATTATAATTGTTTGTAACATTATATCCTCCTTTTGTATCATGTTGTATTGAAGAAGAATTGAAGAAGAAGATATTATACATACATTGAATATAGTATTGTTACATACATTTGGATAATCGATATGTTATTTGCAAACTGAACTATATTCAATGTAAGAGAAAACCAAACTAAAATTAGTCACTCCGTGGTAGACCTGATTTATGTGTTCTTCTTATTATTTAACTGACAATACAGCATTATATATGTAAAACTTACATATAAATGTAAAAATAATGTTTTTCAGGTATCGATTGCGAGAAATCACGTAACGCAGAAGTGGACACCCTATTGAGCGACGCAAAGAATTGGGCAGCTAACGGCTATGTGGAGGTACGGGACCCGAAAACGGGGGGAACGCCACTACACGTCGCAGCCGCCAAGGGTTATATCGATGTAAGAATATTAATTAAAAAATATCGTCATATCTTTATTCACAATCGTTTTTTAAATAAACATGCATTTAGAAATTTATTCTATCTGTTCTTACAACAAAATTTATTATTATTATTGTTATATATTTTCTGTTATATATCTATTCAAATAGACAATTTTATTATTGCGAAGATTGGTCTTCATCAATAATTTCAACCTCCACAGGTAGCGAAAACCCTTCTTAATGAATGCAATGCAGAGCCCGACAGTGTGGATTACGAAGGCTGGACGCCATTGCATGCAGCTGCACTTTGGGGACAAAAGGATGCTGCTGCCCTATTACTCAAGTATGGTGCTGACCCGCACCTAAAAAACTACTCGGTTAGTTCTTTACTCATTAGGTTATTAATCATAGTTTACTGTTATACTAAATATATATAATTGAGGTTTTCCGTGGTTAGCACGAACATGGCTAACTATTAGCTATATTTTAAATGGTCACGTATTTAAATCCTCATACTATTCAAAAATTCTTGAGTTAGTTTCTTTGTATTGGTCTGGATGTTTTCTATGTATTTATTTAAGTAATTCTATCAGTTGTCTAGTACTCGTAATACAAGATCAATTTAGTTTAGAACTTTGGTGCTGTGTTGTGATGAATTGTCCTGGGTTGTTGTGTGAAACAAACTTCTTAGCATTTCATGGATTTACGCTTTAGATACACATTCTAATATAGAACTTATTGCAGTTCTAGACAGTCTTTCTTTCCGAAATCTTTTTGAAGACGAAGAGAGAATTTGCTTGTATAACACTCTCTGCCACTTCAATCACACATCAATTAACTACAGACCCATTTTTAGTTCTTCCTTTATTTTTTCATATTATGAATGTATTCATGTTATGAAAAATAAAGATTTATTTGTTTCCTATGGACTCGACTAGTAATACAGCTTAGGCTTTTTTTTAATAGGGCTATATCTGATCTGGATTATGAACCCACATACCTACATTCTCTGGGATTTTATAATGCTGTACACATGAGTCCATTGAAATAGGCCAGTTAGATTCAGTACCCAGGATTGAGAAGGCTTGTTTTTGGAGTTTGGAATGTATTATTAATATATATTATTGTGAATAAACCGACTTCGACCATAATAATTATACATGATAACTACAAGCTGATTGCTAAGGAAAGTAGAAACTATTATAAATACATCATATGTCAATATAATACTATATATAAAACTGTTTGAGTTTTCTGTATTGTAAAAATATACATATCTCATGTTACAAGAATTGTTTGGATGCCTACTACTGAGTGCACTCTCATTTGTTTCCCGAATTCTCATTAAGAATTAGGCTCTAAAGTATATTCTACAATAGCTAATATTGAATGAATACTAGGTATTGTAGATCATATTCATTCTATATTTTTTTATGAGTTTCACAGGTTATGTTATACAATAAATTACTAAATCACTTCCAAATAAGAAATTTGGATTTATAAAGAGACAAGTTAAAGATGTAACTATAAAATTCTGTGTATATTTTTTTCATGTTTTATGTTATAAGTTATTTATGTAATAAGTTTAGTGCGTAAGCATTAGTTACTGAATTTCCTTTCCTCCAATACATATTGTATTGAATTGCTACACTTAATTAATTAAAAAAAATTCTCTTTCACATCAGGGACAAACCTGCATGGACCTAGTAGACCCTAATATATCGTCGTGGTTAGCTGATGCGACGCTGAAGTTACCGCGCCGTGTCAACAATAACAACAACAATAATAACAAACGCAAGCGTAGTCCACCAAAGCACGACGTTAAGCGAGTTGAACTAGAAATCACTGGACAGCCGGACACTATTGTTAATGGTTTGTATTCATATTAGAAAATTAATTATTAAAAATGTTACTGATCAACGCCAGCTTAGCCACTTTAGCCACATTCAAGGTAGGTATATGATGAAAAATGGTTACTATGTTTCTACGGGAATTACATACGTTTAACGGGAAATTCTGAATTCGTAATTTTTTCGAATATATTTAAAGGTGCCTCATAGTTCTAAATATATTTGTAAAATATAGATTTGTCTATAATAAATAATATGTAAACTCTTTAATACTCTGTCATACAATTATTGACATATTATTGATTATATTTACACATTATTAAAAAATTGTTACGATAACAAGATGTAGTTTACGTATTATTGCAAGCAACCTTATATGTTCATTGTTGATAACCACTTCAGATCTAACTGTATCATTAACAAACTACCGTAAGACTGGTATTATAATTTCTTAACCTAACAGTTCCCTAAAGAACATGGATTGTGTTGCTTTGAACGAGTGTTATAAATGATTCACGCAAATTGAAAAGTAGTTCAATTAATATTTTCTATTTTATTTATCTTTCATACAAAAGATTATTTTTGAATTAGTAGTTTTGCAGTACTATGTCATTTAACAACTTTCGGTATTGTGGGTTATTAAAATTTATATTTGGTTTCGATATAATAACGTATTAGAACTTGCTTCTGCATTATTTGTAGATTTAATATCGCTCGTTTCTATATAGTAGTTTCCAAATGTATGTGGGGTAGTCGTGTCGCCCATATTGGTATAGTAACAAGTTTACATAAAGGGACGTATATGTTAAGGCTGTAATGTGAATCCAACACAAGTTCAATGCTCTACAAGGACTGTATGTCTCATCCCATCGCCATCACATCTCATTATGCAGACAAGCCGCCAGCCGCGCCCGAAATCATAACAAAGTTGGCAGACGGCAAACCACCTAAGGGCCGGGCGCCATCGCCAGACGTTACCGAACAAGCAGAAAACGTAAACACAGAAGAGGCGCCGTCATGGCGTCGGTCGGCTTCCTTCCGTAATAAGCAACAAGAAACACCTAGTAAGTACTCTCGCACTTAACATTTAACTGCACAGGAATGTAACAATTAACTTCGACTGCCATTTTGTTGTTAATCATTATTGGGAATCATAGTTGGGCCATATTTGTGTTGATACAAGCTTGAACAAAAAAAAAAACAATATGCAAAAGTAGCCATTACATCTAATGTTCATTTTCATAATTTTTAAGATGTTATATAGGAAATCTAAGAGAGGATGTGACTATATTTTCATATCTTTCTGTGATGATGTCTTGCGTGACAAAGTGAGATCAGGATATAAGATTAATTAATATTATCAAAATTAAATATAATCCGCAAATATGGCTCCAAAGTAACATGGGACTTTAATTATTGCTCTGCAAATTTGTACTTCCTATTAGTTACACTATAGTGTCGGTTCTGCAAAAAAAAAATGCAATTTCAAAATAATATTGGGATAGCTCATACAAATTGCAATGTAAAGTGAAGAGTGCAAAATTTCAGAGTATCTTCCAGGCATGGATCTAGGTTTACTAATTGTAAATTTATAATTAATATATGTTGTGGCTAAATATGTTTATTTTAACCCAATTGTGTTACTATATATGTGTGTCTAAATATTGAATGTTTTACTTTGCAGGAGATAATAAAACGGCAAATAGCTCTGTTGATAATGAGACTATTTTAAGAAGAACTCACAGTTTCGAAAATGATAAGACGTGAGTACACGTGGTGGTGGTGTGGCTCTTATTATTTAAATTACAAACTTCTATTCATCAATTGCTCTACAGCATGCGATGATGCATGGCATAAATTTATCGTTCTATGTTGCAGTAAGTCTAGTGCCGGCATATTATATATAATTCCCAAGTTTTAATTTTTTCCTCAACACGTTTAGTCGACTTTATATGAATATAATTAGTATTTTAATTACGAATACATTGCTGGCATTATTCGAAGACTAAAAACAAATCATTATTTAATCAGTTACATGTAACAATCTGAAGATATTTCATGCGATAACATTTTAACAACTGCTAACTTTGTATCTATACTACTTATGTGGATAAAGAGTGCCATTAAATAATACTGTGATATACTGAAAAAGGGATTTATTTTTCCACGAAATATAATAGTTATGGTTATAATAATATTCGTTAAAAATAATCCAATTAGGTTTATTTTCATGGTAACAGTTAACTTTGTGTATACTTGTTATAAATATATATACGACATACTTTATCCGCGCATAGTACGCGTATCAAGCTGAAAATATCACGAGTAGCTACAATTTATCACACATAATGTATATATAATGGGGACCACGTCAATGAGTGTGTCTAAATTTACAATCTCAAAATGACAAAAAGCAATCAAATCTGAAAAAAGTTAATCACCAATAGATAAGACAAAAAGAAAAACTACATATGTGATGTTGCTTTCAGAAATTCAACGAGTCTTGTGAGGTTATTAATATGCTTTTTTGATAAATCGCGGCCTTCAAACGCTGACAGGCAGCTGAAACATCAGTTAGTGAATCAATATATTCAATTATTGGGATGGCGTCAATAGATAGTCGCGATTACTCATAGTTTTGTATTATATATTAAAATGTAGTGTTTTCTGCATTTATTGGGCATACAGTTATCATGTATATAGTATTTATTTCGAAAAGACCCGTAATGGAATTGTGCCACATAATTGTGGGGTATAAAAGTTTTAGACCACAAAATTTTGGGGTACAATATAAGATCTTCGTTTTTCTAAATGTGGATTATATTTCTTGTTGTTTCTTATTTCCTACGGTTTCTTATCCTATGGGTCGCCGACCGGAGTGGGGCTCTCTTACGTTGTTAGTACTCAAAGTGCGAGAGCACCAGTTACACTGCATTTATATCAAAATGTATTAATAGGAGATTGAATGTTGTAATTGTTGTTGTTTGTCACATTATTTATTAGACACTAAATCGTTCGGTATACAAAAATATATAATAAAATTCCTAGTAGTAAAAATACAACATAACTATAAAAGTATGTGGCCGGGTACGTAAGCGACGGTAATGATACTATTTTTTGACTTTTTGTTTTATGAAACATAGTAGTAGTATATACAGACAGGACTTAAAATGCACGCAATGCATTGTAACCCATAATGCGGAAAAATTACATATAATAAAGTACGTAAACGTTAAAGCGGCTTGAATTAAGAGTGTTAGAGTGTAAAAGTTCTTGTCGCTTGATCGTTTATAGTCTTATATATTATACAAACATGAATGAAGCTTGTTATGTTCGTCCGGTTTAGTAGATGAGCTAGGTGTTTCAAGGGAGGACAGATTTACTAACAGAATAGATTTGTTTTTTGTCTGTACAAATTAAAATTTACATTTTGCTATATCGATGTGTAGTATTCATGAGAAATGTCATGTGAATGTCATTTTTTATTATTTGTACATATTCATATGTTATTTACAAAGTTTGCAAGACTTATTGCGTGTCCATAGTGAAAATTAATCTAAGTAAAGAGTAATCATTGTAAGTAAAGAGGTGGCCCCGCCCCTATAGTTCAATAATTCATTCATAGTCTGTAACGATTGACTATTTGGCACGGACATACAGATAGACGGCACAACTATCTCAATTTGCATGAAGACTAAATGTGTCGGTACTACTAAACCACTTACTTTGATGTGGCAACTGTTTATTGATAGCAAACCCGCCTTCAGTACTCAAATGCGATCTGTAAAGCTGTTTTTAACTGACCTCGATACTTATTTGCACATACATTTTATGTGAAATAAACTTGAGCGTTCAATTTAGTTGGAATCATTTGATTATACGAGTAACATTTATTTTATGCTATATAATACAAAATTGTGACATTTGTGTACTTGGTTTTAGTATGGTTAATTTGGCACTTATATATATTATAATTTTAAAATATTTAGTTGTTATAAAAGTAATTTTTAAATAATAAATATAAATAGAATATTAATATACAATGAAATATACTTAATTAGTTTACATGTTTAGTAGTATTCTATCAATACTGTAAACTGAGTGATGTTAACATATTGATACTATAATTGAAGTCATGTATATCGTGCCACATACTGTGTATAAAGTGCGTGGGTCGATATATTATCTATCTTATTTGACTATTATGGACTTAAGTAAACTTTAAAGTGCCACTTTTCTCTTGGATTCGTACATGAAGTTAATATAGAAAAAGTTTAGCGGATATTACGAAAGTATTAATAAAATGGTTTGCTAACAATAACACAAAATATGTTACATTTATATGAAATATTGTAATAATGTGACTTCTGAATCTATGTCTGATTGGCACTAAAAGATCCCGTCCTCGACCAAACGCACGTGTCCATAAGCATGCTTGTGTGTGAACAGTTTCTATCAACGGTACCGTGACGTCACCGCACGCATTAAGGCGTCGTCGTGCCCGTCAATACCGCCGCTGAAGTCCACGCTCGCCGCCATCGAGCTCAGGATAAAAAATCAGGAGACTAACAATACTTCAGAGAGTACTAACGAAGATGTACAGACCAGGTGCTGTTGACGCCTAAGGATGCCGGTTTCGGGGGATTTTATATTTTAACCTAAAAAGGGTTGCAATTCTATTATATACAACGTAATATACAATAATTATATGAAGTCGTTAACGTAGGTACTTCAATCTCACGCATTTCATTTATATACAACCGAGCACATTTCGGTTTGAAGTGTAAGATATGGTGGTGGCAATACAGGGTACGGGTCTTGCTCCTGATGATATGATTTCATACGTCTTTATCCTCTAGATATCGCATCAGGATTACCGCTGGTATTACAAGACGTGATATCAGTAGTGCTGCTCATATAAATACTCAATGATTTCTAATAATTTATACTAATTGATAAATAAAAACGTTTTTTAAATGTGTTTGAAGTCAATTTAAAAACTATTTGAGTTTGTTTTTTTTTGTTTGAACATTGGGTGCTTATATCGTGTGTAGTTACAATACAAAAATATAAGTTGCGGATTTATTTTGCAACAATTCGCTATTTTATGGCCACTGATATTCTTTTCAGATACAAAGATTTCTTCAGTATATTCAAATTAGATTAAATATTCTAATTAGAATGAAAACGAAAATATAAAATTAAAATATCCCGAAACCAACGTCCAGAACCTGTGTAACAAAATCAAATATAATTTTCACATCATATACATATCTAATTATCTTCTATTAATGTCTGCTATATATGCTTTCTTATTTAATATGTGTAATATATGTTGTATCTAGTTAGATGACATTATAGTTTTTTTTAATATTCAATAGAATGTGTGGATCTCCAGAACCATTTCAAGATTATTGTTTTTGTAATTGTTTATTTATACAGTACGTTTCAGATTATTTGTACTTTAATTATTTGGTAATATTAAATATAATATTTATTTATAACATATACGAATACTTAGTTATATATTTTTATTTGTACTTTTAATTGTGGTCTCTTTTGTTACTATATAAAATCATATGACTTAGAAATATGATGTAACAATATATTTTTATAATTTATCTTAAAATAAATACGTACATATTTCTACATGTAGATACTATAACAAGAATTAATTTTGGTATAATGTATATACAGGATAAGTCCGTCAGAACGAAGAGATCGGGAAGCGAACACGTGGTCGGTACCAGCCACTACCGCGGGTCACACCAAACCAAACAACACAACCACACAAACCACAGTCAGAAGGTATTTATATTCTTTTTAATATTATACGCAATTTGTATTATAAAAACAGGCAACCTATTACGACTGTTATCCTAGATGAGGTAGCTAGAGGTATTGTCAGCTGTCGATATTGTGGTCAATTGTTTGTGGTTTATTTCAATCCAACGTGCAACGGCAACAACGGCAGCGAGCCTATCGCCGTCTCCCTTATTACATTTTATGTATCTTTTCCTACACTGGAGAGTTAGTTAAGAATACAAATTGAAAGTGTTAAAATCTGGCTAACACCAAAACTCATTGTTTTGATGTCAGTCAGATTTTAATTCACGATCTTTTGGGTGTAATATGAGACTGTAAACCTCTGCATTACGTCGTTTTCTATATCCAATATAAATTGTCTTTTTATATTGAGTTATTATAAGAAAACGTATTTATTTACTGTATCTTGTAGCAAAGCCTGAATCCTTTGGTGATATTTTTTTAGCTGTCAAAGTTCATATGATTCTTCTGTATAAAATATCCTTAGTTAAGGTAAAATATCCTTAATATACCTTATAAACTAATGAGTTTTAATTAGAAGCGTATTGTTGAGCATATAGTTAAATTCCATTTAATTTAAGAATCTTCTGTGAATATAATTATAACGTTTTTTTCGTAATAAACTACAGCAAACTGTCGTAGCTTTGTCTCCGTAGTATTACTTAAGCCTTAGAATTGTACGAGTAAGAAATATATTGTGCTTGTTCAAATATAGAAATGCTATAGATACTCTTATTTCTAGAATTTTTCATAACAGAGAACTCAGAAATTGTTGGTGCATAGTAGATTAATCAGTTAAAGTAATGAAAACCATTTATGTTATACTTGAATTTCAGGATCACGTACTCAGTATAATTAGAAAGTTTTGTTGAAATCAATTTAATAATTCTGCAATATTAATTAAATCCTCGTGTAACCCAATAGAGAATGCCATATGAGATACTTTTTCCGTTATTCTAATCCTTACACTTTAGAATTTATCCTATTTCTGAAAATATATATAATATAATATATTTTCTAGTATAATGTGTTACAATTACAACAATACAAAGTCAATATAATTTATATATTTTGTAGAGGAAAATATTAAATTAAGTTATTCAGTAATATGCGTTGTGTTATGTTACTTAAAAGAGGATATGATCCTTTTACATATATAGTAATCAATGACAACGATGCATAATAAATTCATAATAATTGCATCTGTTCTATTGCACATTATGTCAGCAAAAAATTGATAAACATACAATCTGCACGGATTCTAAGAACGAATTGTGCTGTGACATAATAGTAATTCTTCAAGAGCAAACGTCACTCGGTTTCTATATTAGAAATTGATAGGCACCAGTGCATCATTTAGTTTTAATATTGTGCATTCACTTGTGGAACAATATCGTATACATTTAGCTTCAAGAATTTCTAGAAATGTAATTGTGAATTGTTTGAAATTTAATAGTACAGTACTATCTTGTGCATTTATTATTTATACATAAAAATGTATAAGTAATAAATAAAATAAATATGGTTTAATTTTTCGAGTCGATATGTATTGTTGTTTGTTTTGTTAGTTTAGTACACATAGTGATTATATAGTTCATAGAGTTTTATAAATTAGTTTTAACTTAGATTTTATATTTATTTAATTAGCATCAGTAACAGACTATATTTGTTAGATAGTAATCGTAGTTTGGTCCAATAGTGGTACCTATTTTATCTTTTGCCGTTAGGGTACTCGGAGGGTATTTTATTAATATTAGATGTGAACATTTAAGACGACTTACGTTAAATGAACCTAGTGCTAAATATATTTGTTACATTTAATACATGATCCGTAATTGACTGTTTTGCTATTTTTGGTGTATTGAGTTAAAAAAGGCAAGCCATATTTATGTAGTTTTTCTTTAAGTGACATTTTGCAAAACAATCTTGGTAATTCCTCTTACTGATATTTATGTTTACAATGTATCTAAATATATGTAGTTTAACGGTTTAGCACAGCGCCTTACATCGGATGGGGGTTTGACTCCTCGCACGATAGAAATATTTGTATTTATGTACTAATATTTATTTACATGTCTGTATAAATATTTGTATATTTCAATTCGATATAAATTATCCTAGGATTGTTTTCTGTGTCACAGATATAAATAAATTGATATAAATGTCAATATGAAATATGAATATTCTCTTATCTTTATACATATCCACAAGGTTTCTATTTAGTATTATTTGTATGGGACTAGGATATGAGACTTAAAGTATTGCCAATGAGTATGTTATTATTGATAATTATATACAGTTCCGAGAGTGTGGAGTCCAACAGTAGCAATTCTACGCCCAGCTCGACCACGCAGACGAAACTCTCCCCCGGGAACATATTCAAGAATTTCTTCAAGTACCCACACGCATAAGTTCTTTTGATAAATTTGTTTGGACATGGAATCTATTTTTTTATTACTAAATGCTTCAGATGATTGAATCTTGTAAATACAAATAACCTATGATATAACTTTTAGAGTGTGTAATTTTTTTTTGCTTTTGTTATGTTTATTGTAATTAATAAGACTGATGTATATTAGTAAAATCAATTATTAATACATGGATATGATATTATGAAATGAAATATATACTTTCTCTAAGCCGTTAGGATTGTTACTTTAATAGCAATAATGCCATTTTTTAACACTTTATAATAATTACAGTAATATCTGTAATAGATATTGATCTAAACGGTCATGATGTCCAAAGAAATTTACTTAATTTGTGTGTATGTACTTAAATCCAGCACGCTTCATATATTTATTTTGCTCAGTTACAGTTTTGGCGTATTACGTTTTTTTGGCGCATGAGACTGATTTGTTACTAGTATACCTTTACTGTGCATGTTTTAATGTTGTAGTTACAAATATGATTAATATTTGGATGATTTAGAACTTATAAAAATTTGAATTGTCTGTGGTAAGAGTGCGTACGTTGAATTGTGTAAGCATTTTGACGCAATTTATAATATTATTTGTTTTCTCGCAGGTCTTTCGTACCTCCTGTTCGAGATGAAGAGAGTGAAACACAAAGGAAAGCACACGCAAAACGCGTTCGCGAGACGAGGCGCTCCACGCAGGGCGTGACGCTCGATGAAATTAAGTCTGCCGAGCAGTTAGTAAAGAAGAAGACTGGTAATGGAACTACGGAGAGTCCCTCCCCAGCCAGCATGAAGAAGGAAGATGCCTTAACACCTGCCATAGCGGACAATGGTTCAGTATGTATTATTCTTATTATACAGTGACCAATTAATGGTTGAGGATTAAGTACCTATCATAGTCATCGGTTACTTTTTCAATTGATAGCAGTAATTATAATATGCTATATAAGTATGTTAATAATTTAAGCTAATATATAAATTATATTTACAAGGAGTGAATAAAAATACTACATTTCACGTAATAACACATTGTTTATGATTTTCGACTCTAATGTCATGTACACACCAGCCATAACGAAAAGTCTGGCTGTGTGGCTTCACTCTCCAGATTTGTACATACGTTGTGTTTGAATATGAGTTTTGTGTTGTCGATTTATCCACCATTCACCGGCCGTGTCGACTTGTTTGTATTAATTATTAATTTATATTCATAATTTATTTATTTCAAGTTCACTTTTTATTTTATGAGTTTGTATTTGACATAATATTTATATATTGAATTGCTAATGATTTTTTTCGTATTCTTGTTTAATCCAGGGTATATAATGAGTACACCTTCTTTAAACGTATAATATAGATTTTAAAATATATAATTCTATTTATATGTTGTAAAATATATTATCTAGTAAACTACACCCAAAATTAATTATATACTGTTGTGTCAAATAACAATCTAAAATATAGTGAAATTTCAATTACCTAAACAGTATCAATTCGAAAATTAAAAACGTTTTATCGTGTTTTTTATACCATAACTTTTCCTATTTAATTGAAATAAAAAGAAATTGATAGCAATTATGTATTCGGTATTAATTAAAAATTCTCATATACATTTATTTTTAATGCAATGTTTTGAAAAATAACTTATGCACTTTAATATTTCTTTACAAACAAGTCTTGAAAGAGATAGAATTTTGTAATAAAAGTGTGTTAACAATCTAGTTAACTTATCTTGCAGTTCATCATGCGTCATAAAAATTAATCCAGGAGTACTATTTTCTTTATGATTATCTTTTTATAGTCTAAATTTATTTTAACAGACATTTAAAAGAAATGTTAATTTTTGAAATATAATAAAATAGCCAAAAATGACATCTGGTGGTATGTAGTAATAGGAGAGACTAAGTCTATTCTGACTTAGTTTTTGTCACGTTCAGAACAACTTGTTTTATTTATGCTGTAAATTAGGTAATGTAGTTATAGAATAAGGTCCATTACATCTTAGTCATTTAGAATGGCAAAGTATGATTGAATAAAATTATTTCTGCGGTGCTATTCATATATATAGGCTATCAGTTACCATCAGGTAGGCTGTTGGATTGTTTGCCATTTCAATTATTATATAATAAATCTTTGTTTTATGTTATAACAATTTAAAAATGGAATTAACTAAGCGACATTGTTTAACGTATCATGAACTGCAATTGTATTGTTAACGCGCACTTTGAATATGGACTGTCGCGTAGGCGCGCGCAGCTGGCGGTGATGTTGCGGTTACACTTGCACTGGCGTGCGCGACTGCGACCGCTACCATCGCCGCCAACAGCGAGAGACGCCCCTCGTGGCGGCTGCGGCTCGACCCCACCAACAAGGTCCTCGCTCGGTACCCCCTCAATGCGGTTGACTATCGGTGCACTCGAACCTTTGAAATATTCATATACTAATTTTAGACCGTTTTAATACAACAATAATTCATTAATAAAGCAAGCGATATAAAAACATGTTAATGAAATATATATAACATAAAAATAATAATACTCATTTTTATAATACGTAGGTCCTATTGTTTTGATAAAAGTTCGGATTATAATGTAATGTTTTCAAGAAAAAATATATTTGTTTGAGTATCTAATGAAAATGTAGCTTGCTTTTTACATGTTCATCGAGAAATATAGTAAATACATAACATTGTACCGATGGACAATTGTGATTGAATGTACCGTAGCATCAGACTATCGGCATGGTTTGACCAATTCTCGGTTCAATATTATACGCATCGGTCCGTTCCGAGAACTAGAAGTACTCGAAGTACGCTTTAGGTGTTGATCAGTCACTATAACCAGGGTTGACTGGCATGTGAGGCGGGCCTTGTACACGTTTCGCGGTAAAGTGTCCCCACACTACTAATTTATATACTGTTATAGAAATTTGTTTTGCAATCATATTTCAGAAGTTAACGAAGTTATTACAGTATTACAAAAGTTTGCTGTTTCTATAAATATTGGCGAGTTGTATCGACGTCACTATTGAATTAATTATCTTATGCTAAAACTGTTCCCGTAGTCGTAAACCCGTTGAGATTGGAATGAGTGCTTAGCATTTTCTAAAATATTTTTAACATACTATCCTTGGGGAACTTATAGGACGGGTCATGTGATTATGTGTCCTATTTGTAGAATGTACAACTGCATTTACCTCACGTCAGCGAGGGGACTTAATAGGAAAATTAGAACTTTTCTCAAATTGCAAAACTTTATTTAATATTTTAGAACGGGCGTGTGGGGACTCCTTAATTAATCGAAGTAATAACTGCGACTGTGTCGATGTAAAGCGCTAGGTTAAAAATAAATAGTTTTTTTTATATGATGATGAATTGGTGATTCTCTAGGTGTTAACTGTTGGCGGAGCATCAGTTGATATTATGAGAATGGAATTAGGTTAAACAAATATTGCAATGAAGCTATCTGGAAATGCACACGTAAAGTATATTATAACAATGGTAACTCTATTCCTTTTTACTAACAATACCATACCCATAAACTTGATGCATATGTGGGTGGAAATAGGCGGATATCATTTTTCATCATGCAAGCAGTATACGTCTGTATTTTCTATTTCAGTAATTATCATTGTATAACATTTTCAATTCGTAACTTATACTATATAACTATATACCGTTGATAAAATCGTACTTTACAAGATATTTCTATAAGTTTATTCATTATAATTATACAATTTATGCATTGTAGTCTTTATTAGTAATCTAAACATATTCACAATTAAATTAAGTAAAATAATAATGATTAATATTTTTACTAGTAATCATGATGACATGAGATTACGTAATATTCATTTTGTTTTTTTGCTGACAGGAATATCAATTAAAGTCTTGGATGACTCATTAGGTGGTAAATGTAAACTCATAAAGTACCTATCCGTTGTAAATATGAAGTGTCATGAACTTATCTTAATAATATTGTGTCATCGTAGATACATGGTAATTCATATGCCTTCCCACTCCTAAGATAATGATAGTTATAAAATAGCATACATTGCTGTATCAAAGCAATAACAGGATATGCCAGTAAAGTTGCTGGATACGGAGATTTAATACTTTACTGCGTGGTATTGGAATGCGTATAGAGATATTATGCGTGGCATATTCTACTAAGTTCGCTATACATCTGTATATGTATTCAATTGTCGGTCATAATTATGGATACCAAAACTTACGAGGTATCAAAAAATACGAGTACGAAATTTTTGGTTTTTGGTACGATGACATTTTCATTCTTGTACAAATTTGTACGAGATTTTAATCTACGAAATATGGTGACGCATGTGGTTAGAGAGTCGAATTGAGATAATTAGTAAACCAGATTTATTTATAAAATGTGGCAAACAGAAAGAATAAAGATTATAATATTATAGGTAAATTTAAAAGTACAATTCATTCATATTAATAAATATAAGATTTTATGATTATTTTCAACGATAAATTAACTGAAAGAGCTTGAATAATTCATTCATTGATACCATCGACACAGTCGCATTTTCATGTTTCATACAGTGAGGTATAGTCGCTCCTTACTGGTACTTTTGGCCAACTATGTTTCGTCTACGTGTACATGGACCCTTTATTTTTATTCGTTGTCGCATGCAATTTTCTGCTTTCTTTCTTTCGACGTGTTTTGACCGACAACCTACTTTTCTTTTACTATAGGATAATTGCCCAATGAATGGAGCGTTGAAGTTTGTTGTTCGTTTAATTAAATGAATGATTATAATAACAATCACTTTAATCTCCACTAATATCCTAAAAAGAGAGCGCGTATTGTACGACTTTGTACCTACCTACTTACCTTCACCTAAAAACCTTTATTTAAAAAAAAAATGCACTTGAATCTTTTTAAATTTGACAGTTAAGATCGGGAGTTTTATGTACATTACATACCAAGTTTATGAATAAGCCAAAAATTTTTTAGTTTAAATATTATTAAAATGTATATGTAGAAATAATATTAAAATGTATATGAGGAAGTTAGACTAAATGATGTATCAATTTAGCACGCTTAATAATAATAAAATATAAATAAAAAAATATGAATTTTGGAATTTACGCTAGCTAGTTATATTTATGCTAATATATAGGATATTAAGCTATGTTTTATATTGAACTGAAAATAAATTGAATACATAAGAGATAATATTTCTTATTGTAAACACTGCGGGTGTATATCCTAAATTATTCTATGTGGTAAACTTATCAACATTTTCAAAATAACACATTTTGTTGTCTTTTCATTTCATCATCTTTTCACTTTGCCGCATTAGCCATGAGCTCTATTTTCGAGCTATTTTCAAAGACGCCGTCGAGATCACCTGTATTTTTCAGGATTACTAGAAGTTTTAAAATTGGAGGTTTTGTTTATTTTTGTAACAAAAACATAAAGCTTTGTAGTTTTGTTCGATATTATTACTGTGTGTAGGTCTGTACGAAAAGAAATTGGAATGATATTAGTAACATTGTAGATTCTTCAGTACACAAATATCATATGTTTTATATTTTATAAAAAGTACTGCTCATTTTCACTTGAATTCTAAGTGAAGATATTTTTAAAGTATAAAATTACTCAATATCCGTTAGATTGATTGTTAAGGCGCTTGGATAGTGATTTTGCCACAGTAACAACACTGTAATACAACCTTTGCAAGAAATATTTATAGCCATCGTTCGACTGAATTATAATTATTCATCTGGGCATTACTTTGTTTTCTTCGTGGTTGTTCGACTATTTGCAATTCGATCGGAGCCCTTAATCAGACGGTTCGCGAGATTGCTACGTGTCGGCCTCATGAATATGGGCTCCGTTAATTCCCGAATGATGGAAGAACTACCCCGAAGATTCAATGTGAGTGAATTCGATATTTATAATTATATCTCAGTATGAATTAATATAATTAATTAATAGTTTTCGTTCGTTTCGTTTTCGTTTTTTTTTTTAAATTAGAATTCAATAGTGTCTTTTCTCATGGAATAAAAATAAGATGCGTCTTGATTTGAATCCTTCTTTTGTCTTAGTTAAATAATTAGAATTCAATATTGCATTTATGTTTCTATGTTCGGGATTTTGTTTTATTGACGACTAGACGACTGATCTCAATGATTTAGCATTCTGCATTATTTCCAATCGTTGTGGGTTCGATTCCTGCAATATATAAAAAAATGTATTGATATAGGTGTTGTTATCTGTACCATATATTATATAATAGCTGAGACCGGGTAATATTTGGAATAAAAATTGGTTATTAGTATATTTTTTATTGGAATGAAGCAAATGCACAATTACAAGAAGATTGTAATTATCTATCTGTTATACACCCTTTCATACCAGACTAAATTTCAGATCAGACAAAATTATTATATAAATATTTTATTGACCTCGGCTATATTTATTATACGTATAACATTGTGTACATTTTTTATAAGATGTTTCGTTATTATATGTAGAATGTATATGTAATTATGTATGTCTATCAGTTCTTTAGTACTCTTCATATGAGATCTGCTTTGTTTGGGACTAGTAATAAAGAGATACATAAAGAAACTACTAACTACGGGGTCACCGTATACGTTGTCCAGTTTCTTTATGTTGTAAGATTAAGTTATAAAAATCATACCGAAAATAAATTCACCTATTGAAATCTTGTTCGTAATTATATTCATCGATTGTTCATTGAACCTAGACTCGCTAATTTGTTTATGCTTCGCGCACGTTCTAACTGCTTTATGTGTTGCTGTGTGTTTGTTGTCGACGCCTCGTTGTGTATTAACTGTACTAAAATATCCGTGATTACGTTACTAAGTAAACTAATGATTTACATCAGCGGTCGTCACACTTCTCTGGCCCAGGGCCATATAGGGTTAAGTGGATGTCACTGCTGGATTACAATAAGGGCATTTATTTGGGGCCATGCATTAGTTACGGTCATACGTATTTAATTATTTTTTTACTCCTATGCCTCGTCCTGTCATAGCTGGTCACATCTATAGGGTGACGATCTATAGGATGAGGGTGACCTAGGGTGACGTCACACATTTTGCATTTTTATTAGATTTTTAGATATTTATTTAAGATGTTCGACAATAGGTGTTATTTCTGTTTTTAATATATTAGATTTGTTCTTGTCACACATCGTCACACTTTATCGGCCCCCACGTGTGACTTAAGTTATGAATGGTTCCTACTAGAAAAAGGATATTCCGAACCTACAGTCAGTGATAATCATCAGGTTTTACAACTTTCCCAAAGAATGAAATTGAAAAATTTGTTCGAGACAATTTCAAAATAAAATTGTGTTATAAATATTTTTAATATGAAATTATTAATTTTTATGGTAATCATATACAAATTAAGAGTTACATTTAAACTGGCTTATCATGCCCTTCTGGTTGTTACAGTCTGTCATAGATGAATATGTTCTTTAATTTATTCAACAAATCTTTTCCCATTATGTAAACCCTGATTGATCTTGTTCAAAAAGTCAAAATTAATTTGTAGTCAAACTTCATTTCTAGATAAAAGTGGGTCAGTTACTGTCTTGCGGCTTGGTATACCTTTAACGTCTAGCTCTATATGTATTCGGAATTTTTACTCGACATTTATTAGTTGTGACTAAAAAAACAATCAACTAATTTATGTAGAGTAAAATTCAGGAATATCGTTAATGTAGTACATGAAATGTTTTGGTACATAGTCGACTATTGAAGTTATTTGTTTTGTCTCGGGTCTCACATTTACCAGCCAGGCCACATGCGCAGTTTGGCGACCATTGATTTACATTGAGAAATGTTTCTTTTCTCGGAACACGTATTTGTATTATTAATGATATTATTTTTATAATTGTTTTAAATATTTTTGTTGTTCATTTGAATTTTATTATATTCATATATTATTCTTACTATATTGTAGCTACCATAGAATGCTTATTGGTAAAGTCAGATCATATTAATATTGAATGTGCAATACTTGTATATTTATGAATATAATACATAGGTATTTTAGAAACAACTATAACGATTTGTATAAAAAAAAGTTAATATAGAGAGAAATATGCTTGCTCAAGAAATTATGGAAGTGTTACTCTATCCATGGTAGCTACGATGTGTTCGTTATAATTTATCTGTTGTTCTGCTGTGTTGTCTATTTGTATACTCACTTATATGTTCTCATACACTAGGCATTCATTAATTTAACTTGTATATATTATGAAATCGTTATTCACATTATATGTGTTATGAATGATGTATGAAAAATAATTAGGAAGCAATTAGTGAGTCGAGTCTGTATGTTGTATAGTATTTGTCACTTTTAATGCCGAGAAATTATAACTATTGAAAATCACCAAATAGTTTGAGCTGGAGGATGCGGGTCGGTCGTCGCCACGCTCCGTTACGACCACGAACCCGGTCATAAGTACTACGACGACGGCGCCGGTGACCACGACAGCGAACGCCACGGAAACGACCGTAACGCTGCCGCTACGACGTCCGCCCGCGGGTTCTACTGCGAACACGACGTCCACTCCCCCTAAAGAAGACAAGGAGAAAGGTAATATTACCATACCAAGAGTAATACACAAGTTTCGTGCTCATTCTTCTTATGTGATAGGTTTCCGAATGAGCGGTAGATTAAAAAAAGATAATGTGACTATTCAAAAGTCATTTCTATTCTATACTATTCAAATTAGCTGAGAACGCGGCGTGAAATTTGTAACGTATGTGTTATTCTGATGTATAGTTTTGTGAAAATCCATTCAGTAATTTTTGTCTGAAGGAGTGATAATAATAAGTAAGTATACATTATCCATTCATCCATCCAAACTCACAAACTTCCGAATTTATAATATTAGGAAGATTTTATTTGCTAATTAATGTTTGTATTATATATATTTTTTTTAAGTAATATAAGAAAATATATTGTTCCAGGTGAAGATGAAAAAGAACGGGAGAGTAGTACCGAAAGTAAAACGTCAAGTAACGCGTCGCCAGCAAGTACTCAAGCGGCGCTTAATGTTATACAGCGTCGTCGGCGACCGAAGCGGCGCTCTACTGGCGTCGGACATGTTGATATGGAGGTAATACTTTTTTTTTGACAACGGTTTTTGAACTAAATTTAATATCAACGAAGGAATACTCCCGATAAGACAATCTATTAATACAAAGATAGCTGCTGAGGTTACCTGTTATTGCATCAGGTTAGCGGGATCCAATCGATCTGCCCTATTGATGTCATGTGTAAATGTGTGATATAAATTAATTTACTTATAAAGTAGGCAAAGGCACTGTGTCTCAATCAAGCGGACTAGATTAATTGTGTCTATCGCTACTGGTTAAACTATACACTTGTCCGTCCGTTACGTTTATAGGTGTATAGGTTACAATGAATACCTGTAGTTAAGATAATAATACAAAGTGCCTACTATATTGGTAGCATGCTAGTTATATAGCAGAACTTATTCTCTACGGGCGGTGTGGTGGTGCGTTCGACATACGGTCCATCAGGGAGGATAGTGGATAGTCTTGGCCTTCAGCCGCTCCATAATTTCCTATACCTATTTAGATTGTCATCTGCAGATGCTCCATAATGTTCGGTAAAGCTGAAAGATACGGACAACAGTGTTAAGATAGTTATAAAGAAATGACCACGTAGTTTATTTTGCCATTATGCCAATGCATGCATCCTTATGCCAATATGAATGCTTATCAGTTTATGTACACATGTATACTGGTAGTCGTCCAATGGTCGAAATTGAAACATATTAATTTAAATTCTCAATTTGAACATTATGAAAGTTCTACTGTCAAAGACAATATGGTACAGACTATAAACAAAATAGTATATACGCGTGTATGTGTTAAATACATGGTAGAGTTGAAATTTTTAGAGCACTAACCATTGAAAGATGCGGAAATGCAGCACCTGGCGGCACAAGCGGTCTTTCTCCTTCTCTTTGTCTACATTTACATGCACATTCTTTCTGGTGTGATACAACGTACGTGTAAAGGCCAATACTGACTAATATTTTCGTGTGCCAGTTTCAGCGATATTTCGCCATGCAGTTACTGTAGATTTCGTTGCACGTGAAAACGATTGATATTTTCATTTTATGCGAGCATATGTATATTGGAATCAAGTAGGCAGTCGGTGTATAATGTAGGTAATACAATAATACCTTCATGCAGGTGTACATACGTCCGTGATTAAATTATTTTTACGTATCATATAACATTTTGAGCTTTCACGCATTTATATTTCGATTACACACACCCATTTGTATAAAAATGGGTGTGTGTAATCGAAATATAAACGACAACAACAGAGATGATTTTTATTATCACTGTTTAAAAATGGTTTCATGTGAATACTGCTATGGAACACTGACTACACTTGTCTCGTCTGCATAATATTGTAGTAAGTTTACGTAATCATGGTGAATTTAGCATATAAAAAGATGTAATAATCACAGACATGGAATCTATACAAATATTGTAAAAAGGCAAAATTTGTGACATTGTATGTTCGATATAATTTCACATATATATTAGTTTTTAAAAATTCTTGTACTCGTTTGATAGGTCATTTATCGATGGAGTCTATATACAATAATATTACTCTACGACCAATAGGAGTGAAGCTGCAATGAAAAAGTTGGGCGGGTTAGTCAGATAGTTAAATATATGACACTACTGTTTGTACTTTGTTGTCAATTGTTTTGCCCTAAGAGGGCTCAAAAACATAAAACCATCTCAATAATATTTAGTTGCGAGTTCTTGTATGGAATTAATATCGAAATAACCTAGCCTTCGTATAAACCATAACTGTACGATATTCCATACTGCTTCAATTTTGGGAAAAAGGAGTGCTTTGTTTACTTTACGTATTAATATAATAATGATTGTAATATACTATAGTTTTGTTAATAAATCCCATTATTTTTTTAGGACATCGTGAACGACCGCGGCGGGGGCGGAGAAGGCGACGGCGAGCCTGAATCTCTTCAGGTCAGTTTAGATTATAATCTACACAATAACTCCATCTTTTCAACCTACACATATAGTTGTTTTATAATTATCTAATTATGTGCATTTTTGGTTATATGATGTGATTCATATTGTACTGTCATCAGTAAGGTGTATTTTTGTTTATGTAATTGGATCGGCAAACAAGCGAACTGCCCACCTGGTGGTTAGCAGTAATACTTGTGTGTAGCGTACACATATGAACGCTATTTTTATGATATTGTAATTTTTGTATATGATGATTATTTTGTTCATTATACGTAACATAATACATAATGTATTGTTACAATCTCTTGTATTTATTTAATAGAATTTTTTTGAGTGATTTTCAAAAGGTCAAGGTTGTCAATTTAGCTGTATATTATTGTTAGCAGTAGTCATATATTTACCAATTCTGAATCCCAACATAGATTCAAAATATTTTTATGCAATTGTCTGGACTTAGTTCAGGTATTCGAAAGTTTTCATTTTCCATTCGGATAGTGCATTTTCACTGACAGGAGTCCTATATTAAGCGCTTTAGAGTATGGAATACGCTAAACTTATAAAAACTTACGTACACTTAAAATTCACGCGCATACGATTTTTAACAGTTGTTAGGTGTAATATAATAAGAATAATATTTTACTGTACAACAGTAGAAGATATATAAATGCTAGCCAATATTTCCGTCACAATGAACTGTGAATTAAAAATAAATGTCTATAAATCAGAGCATCTGCTCCGAACTGCCTATCCTTCGTGACACGCTTTGTATTTTGAGTTCACAATGTCTTCAATCAAATTCTCTTTTAGTTTAATCAAAGAATAATAGCGTCAATACATTGCCATTATATATATATATACGTTCCATATGGTGAATTACGTAAATATAACAGAAACTCAAATCATTTTATGTCTTTCTGAATCTCCATCATTTTTTTCTGACTCCATCATTTTTTAATAGCACAGATTGTAAAAAAGTGGGTTTGTTATAGGACTCAGTTTTGTTTTATATATTTTTTAAATTCTTTAGACTAAAATATATACAGTGATACAAGAAACTAGGAAAATAGTAATATTAAGTGCAATTACTATAAATAAAATCATATACATCGAGTAGTTGATTTTCTTACTTATGCTTATTCAGATAAGTTAATGTAAATATTACAAGTTCCGACGAGAGTATTTATATAATTAAAACTAAACATCAAGATAGTTGGCAATTACATTAAGGTCGTTAACCGCGAATTTAATTCGTACAGTAATTAATTTTTTTATTGCGTAGCTCGTCTTTTAATGAATATACGAACATATATAATACACCGTTAGTGTACTTTTACCATTTCGTATGTAAAATTATTTTTATAAGTATTTTACGAGAATCGTTTATTTTCTACTGTTTTCTGTGTTTCTATTGTCAAGGAATATCGATAAAAAAGGTTTTTGGTACGTTATAGAATGGCTTTGCTGAGGGCTAACGGGCATTAGTGACTATTAATATTTAAGTTTTAATTTATATATTACTAACCATTTCACCCGCATGAAATTTATATTCCATGTGTTATTCTAATATGTATGCTATATTACTTTAAAGTTTCATCAAAATCCGTTCCGTAGTTTTTGCGTGAAAGAGTAACAGAGATCGATCCATATTCACAAACTTACGCATTTACAATATTAAAAAGATAATTAGATATTTAATTTTAGATATTGGTTACTCAATCAATGCCCATCATTATTTATTATTATTATATTAAGCTTTGGACTATACGAGTCAATTTATTACTTCGTGCGGCCCATATGTATGTTGGCTCATATTTCTGTAGTATAATAAAAAGTTAAATTATTGAAATTATTGAGTGTGAAACAGGGGCGTCTGTGGACGTTTTAAAGACTACGAAAGTCCACTCCATTAATACGTCGCCGGTAAACGTGAATACCGAAAATATATGTTTTCTCATAGGTACCTATAATTAGATGCGTACGTACACTGCGATTTATAACCGCCGTCTTTTTCCCACATAAAACTTTTTTACGAAATTCACGCTTTTGCGTATGAAAAGAACTGTGCAAGTCGGAAGTCATTATAAAAATGGATGATACTTTTTTTTATTTTCAAATAATAATAAATTATTTATGTTTACTTTTAAATTATTATGATTTCGAAATGAAAATACTCTATGCTGTCACTCTTTTTCGTCGAAATAAATTCATACTCCGTGGTAATTGTATATAAAGGAAAGACTAGATTATCTAGAAAGTAGTAAGAAGTTCCAGCTATTCTGGTTATGATCAATCTATATGACAACATCGCTCTACACAGGCTGGAATTATGTAATAAATTTAATAATTCGATAATAATGCCTGATCCTTACATGAACACCTGTTGCAGCTTACTAATATTAATGACATTAAAATGCTGCTTTTTGCCAGAACTTGCATATAAATAATGTCTTTATTTAAACTATTTATAGTGCTAGTCGATAAGATACTGCTGTGTAGTAGTTTAGTAGTATAGTAGTATAAAATTACAAAGTTTAGGAAATAGTCTTTAACATTTCAACTTTAAAGACGACGAAAATTTGTGTGAGTTTAAAAAAGAAGCATCATCTGTTGGTCAATATTTCCTTATTTAAGTTTCAACAAAAAAAAAATATTGTAAATTAATACGTTTAAATAAATTGATATAAAAGTCCTAAAATGATCAATTTCAGCTGTCGAATATCTTATTGAACGTTATATGGTTACTTTACAGTTTTAGTTAGTTGCTCTTAAGTTTGTGACTTACAAATAGATTGAAGGAATTAAAAACATAGGTGGCGCATTTTATTCAGTATTTGCACAAAGCAACTATATTCGTGTACATATAATAGACAAAATAAATTTAGTCTATTTTTAAAATTTTTTACATCCTTACGGCTTTGGTGAATGCCGACGAGATGGGATATGAAAATATATATTTATTACCAAATTAACTACGGTATAGGATACGATATATATAAAATTTACTCGGCGTCATTTTAGCGCACCGAAGATGTATGTGTACGTTGCATTGACGTAAGCAACAATGGACGTATACTTTTAGCTGCAGTAAGGCTTTGTCCTCACAACGATGATGTTATAATGCGACTGCAGAATTAATGTGTTCCCTTCGATCTGTCCTTGTAGATTTTCAATTCGATTGCTGAACTCAGAATGAGTTTTTGGCACAACAGATTTATATTTCTACCTAAGTTAATTTATAGAAAATTAAGTGTGATGTTTGCGTTAATGGCATACAGCAGATAGCATGAAGTTACGTCTGTCAGTCCGCCATGGTGAATTCACCAGAAATTACCACGGTTTCTATTCGAGAAAGTTGCTTTGTAGTCCTAGTTGTAAGGATAACTATTAGCTCCATAGCAAGCAATAAATTGTTTTATAATCCCCATACTATCAGGAAATCGATAAACTTTATAGTCTCTTAATGTAGAGTGATTCTAAATGTGAATCAATTACTCAAACCCATACTATTCATACTGTTTTATTGCTTCATGTAGTATATGGTTCAATATAGTCGTACGTACTCAACGTGAGTTTACCAATATCAGCAGTTATAGGAGAAATTATCTTTTATACTCTATACTCGCTCGCTCTCGGCTTATACAGATACTTGTCTCCTCACTAACATTGCGTGTCCAACTTTATAACATTAATGATTGATAGAAAAGTTTGTGTAAAATAAAAAAAAATCATGTCGTTAATGTGATGTGTGTTTTTGATATGATTACAGTGTGTCTGTAATTGTTTAAATTAATGTTAATCCATGTAGTATCTGAAAATAGATTATCAAATCGAAATTAGAAATATTATGTCGTGGTCGCCTCACCAATACGGATGCGGGCCAACAACATATTCGTCAAAGCCTCTAATTAATGTACAATGAACGTGACATGTGGAGCAGATGCGAACGTTGTACACTCATATACAAAACTCATTTATTGTGATTGATAAACTTAAAAAAATAATTTGTGACGCCCACGGAGGTCGGACGGTTTAGCACAGCGCCCTATTTCTAATGGTTGCGGGTTCGATTCCTTGCATGGGACAAACATTTGTATACATGGGTATGACTATGGGTATGACAAAACATACATATGTATGTTTTGTACTTGGTTTGTATATGTTATTTTTGTTTTTGTCTACTTAGTTTGGCACTAGATGGCGCTGATTGAATTGTCTTGTCTTGAATTGAGATATAAAATTATTAAAATTATATATTTCAGTGTTTTTGCAAATAGTTTCACTGTTGTGACGATACCATATTCCAGAATGACATTGGCTATATATTATATTAACACATTGAAAATCCACAAATATATGTACATCCGGGTGAATACATGGCGGGTAATCAATTATTATATTTCTTAGTTCTATGAGTACCTACTAGATAACTGCGCATTTTATTTTTCAATTCACACCTAGTAACCAGATCAATATAAACAGACATAATCCATACTAATATTATAATGATGTAAAATGTGTGAGTCTTCTTTGTTGACTCTTTTTTGAGTTTGTTCGTGAATCTTCAGAGTAATTTCCTGTAATAATGATTGAATTTTTGAAAATTCTTACATCAAGGAATAGACACATATATAACATCACGCTAAAATAAAAACAAGCGGAGTTGTATTTAAAAAATATTGCAGAAAATGTAACGCAGACAAAGTTAAGCGCACTAGCTAGTCATAAATTCAAATGTTTATATTGTGCGAGGATCGATTACGTGATTATTCGAAGTAGGTGATACTTATTGCTGGACTCGTCACATTTCATTAGTCGTGTGAATTTAAAATATTAATTATATTCTCGGAACGCCCTTATAATATGATAGCACATTAAAATGATAATTGTGCAATTTAAAGGAATGAAGTCTTCGACCGCCGGGCGCGTTACATGTATGATTCATATTATGAGTCAAAGATGTATATGATATAGTGTTTTATCTTATATATTGTTTA